CCTGGTGAAGAATCCTCAGATTGGGACGGCAACTTCGACGAAGAGAGTGACTATGAAGCATCTGAAGATGAGCAAAACCGAGAAGACGATGAGCCCGTATACAACGGGTTCGATGAGGTCATCCCACTGCCAGATAAAAGAGAATTTCCTCGGACTAACGATCCATCCTTCCCCCAGGAGACAAGGTTGACCGGTGTCCGCGGCCAAAAGTTCAGCCTCAAGACACTTTTCTCTTCGGACAAGACGTTTGTTTTGGTCCCTTACATGTCGTAATTTCAGTAATAGCCTTGAATTGCTTGTACGTTTGCCTGATAAGTGGTTTCAATTTCTCGAATCAATGTTGCTTCGACAACAGGGCGTGAACACTTCACCAATCATGCGTTGGTCGCGATATTTGAGGGCGAGTCGGGCAGAGAGAGCAAGTCCAGCTGCGAGTGCGACGCCAGCACCGAGGACACGAGCACCAAGAGCGGCGAGTCCGGCAGCGAGAGCAAGTCCAGCGTGAGAGCTAAGGAGGTATTGTCGACCGTTTATCTTCTTTATCCGGTTTGCTTCAAGACTGAATCGCTCATTTGCTTCCCTTCCTCTTCTTGGTCTGTCTGCTTTTTAGTCATGAAGAAGGCCGTTGGTTCCGCTGAGAAGACCTTGCAGGTTGGATGGAATCTGGATTCCATCCATAGCCTTCTCGGGAGAGCGACTGTCCGGAATCGTCCGGATAATACGAAGGAGCACTTGCAACCGTCCGGATTTAAAACAAATCGCGGCTTGTTATAAAGTCGCGGCACAATCCAACACTGGTGAGACAGAGTGGGAAATCTGATATATATTAGAGAGGCCAGCTGATGCCTGGGTATTCTAGGTTTTATGTACTTTTTTTTCCTTCACGGACTGTATAATCAACTGGGTGGTAGATATTGTGCCAGAGGTCGTAAGCGCAAATTTCTGATTAAGCGTGCACGTCCGAAAGTCCTTGTGAACAAGTTTTGGATGACCGCGACCAACTCGGGTCATTTGGACAACCATCACTGACCGCAACAGCGATCGATTACTGGAAAGAATTCATGTTCAGAATGATAACGTGTATAATGGTTTATTTTGCAGTATTTTCGGAATGAATGCATCCTTTGCTCGTAGAAGTAGAGTGGGGGTGCCAACCCTAGATATTACGCTTGTAAAAGGAAGAATGACGGCGAATTACTACAAGCGTGCATCCTCCGGTAAATTCGATAAACGGTAACCAACCGACCAAGGAAGCCGGTTACCCGACCCGTCCGAATCTAACGGGGGCAAGCTTGCGGTTATCCATACCCATCCAAACCTTACCTGATCAGGTACGGTTTAGCCTTTTCTGACCACCATATTATCTCGTAGCCACGGCAGTCAAATGTTGCTCCTCTAAACAGAGCAAACTTCCGTGATCGCCACCGTATTTATTGTCGACACTCTCTCCTCGCAGCTCTCGTGCGACAACTTTCTCGTGCGACAATCCAGAATGTACAATGCAAATTCGTGCAAAACTAGCATTGGATCGACAGGTGGAATGGAGGAGCTCTACTGCTGCGTGTGCAGCCATGCTAGCTGAAAACCAAACCATGGTGGCATCGTACCAAATCGTCACTCGAGTAGAGATACTATCGAATTCAATTGTTAAGCCCGACAATATCTCTACTCGGATAGCCGATTCGGTGTTCTATTCAGTTCATCGCTGTCACTGACTCAGCCTAGACCAGTGTGTGCTGTTGGGGATGAACACATCGCACACTGCACCAGCAGGGAGGTGCCACCACGCACGACTCAGCACAATTGCTGCCAACGCATGAACAGGGTACTTAACGCCGACGTTGCCAAAACTTAATAATGGGGCGCGGGAAGTATATCTTGTCGCGCTCCTTCCGACGCACCGTTCTGGTTATGATAGTATTCCCTGCGCCAACGATGATGCTACCACTACAGTGTTCGGACATTTACAGTAAAATAATGTATTGTGCCTTTCTCCCAAAACGCCCTCAGTTTTATGGTCCTACGTAGG